TTGATAATATTTAAATATATTAAATTTTTATGTTCCTTAATTTCAAACAGAACTTTAAAATGACCATTATTTTATAATGGATGAAATAAAACATATAAATTGTACATTAATTTATTATATATTACAAAAAAGGAGAAAAATGTATTATTCAATTTTTTTACTTTAATAATACTAGTAGTACACCTATGTATTACACGGTGCTTGTTAAAAAAATTATACTTACATTTTAAAATTAATGGAAAATAGTGTTTCAAAATTTAAATAATATTTTTTCGAAAAAGATATTTTGTGTTATATTTTAGGACAACACTTGTTACTTGTGCGACTTACATGTGTTGCACTATAATGATTTTTGTAACTTATACCATGTAACTTTTTCAGACATAAATATATTAATTGATAATAATTTTATTTTTTTTACCTAATACTAATAAATAATTTTATTACTATTATAAAGATTAATATAATTTTTTATGTTATACATACAATATGAATGTAAAATCGAAGCTTATCAAGAGATTGTTAATTTGATATATTATGCATGTAAAAATGATAAGAAATACAAAAGTTATTAACTTTTAAAATACATTTACAATGTTATAATAGGGAGAATGACATATAATACAATTAATACATCTAACAAAACCATAAACGACCAACATATTTACAGATAATCTGAACCATGGAATTTTGACACAAATTAAGGATCTCGAAACATGCGAGTTTTCCATCTAAACTCAACACATTCTAGAATTATATATAAATAAGATTTTTTCATTGTTTTATTTTACACAATTTATCTTTATTATTGTGTGCATCACTCGATACATACCAGTTATAGATAGGTATATAGATTTACATCATTTTTTTTTTCGAAACGATAGATGTATATCAAAACGCACAACTGTGAAAAAAAGCAGCCCAAGGCTGAATATTACAACCAGGAACTAGAAACTGAGAGGAAGGATCGAAAGTCCGCCTCGCTAGCCACGCTAGAACAGAAAACACACTACACACAACTAAAAGACACCAACACACCAACTACGAACTCTCCCCATGAATAGAAACGCCTCCCACAAGGGAATCAGTACCAGGGCCAATGACCCAAACCTAAAACACAAGACCAAAAATAACACAAACAGAGACTCAAAACATACGAAAACTAAATCAGACTCAAATGACACAAAAAAAAAACAACAAAACCAAAATAAAAAACATTGCCCTTCCCCAGCAACCGGAGATGTCCAGCCAGCAGTGAACGGTCGACACAAGATAGATTCTAGCTCAAGATTCAACTACCGAAACGGCACAAGCGCCTATACAATAGCCAAATCCGAGCCAAGAACCAATTCCCAAATCGACCCATCCTCAACCGAGAGAAGCAACCAACCCCCACACCAATTCCACCGAAACCCGCCTAACACCACTAGCTGAGCCCGCTAGAACCCCGTCCCCCACCGCCTAACACCACTAGCCGGAACGGGGGAGGGTGAGGGTCGATCCCTCAACCCCAACAGCCGCAACCTGAGACACCACAGCAATCAGAGCTCTGCCCCACCCAATGACGCACACACTACCGTCTCCACCACGGACTGCCGACAACAAGAGGACAAGGCTCCATCGAAAAGGTGGAACTCCGCCGGAAAAGCAGAATCCAACAATTGCAGACAAGGGAAGAGAGGCGAGGCTTACCATTACAAATCGGGTCAAATCGCCGACCTTGAGGGGCGCCATCAGCCATCCTGAATCCCTGCCGAACCTCGGACCACCTCCATTAGCCGACCATCTACAGCAGCAACATGGGCGCGCATCGTCATAGGAGGGCCGACCGGTTAAGGACGACCCCTAGCCATGCTTCGCCGTTGCCGAGGAAGGCGATTCCACCAGAAATTTGAGAGCTGCGGGAGATTTGGGGATAGGGTTTTTTCGCCGAGATTTGGATTTTTTTGGTAGATTTACATCATTGATTAGCACATATATACACTTAAGAGTGCATAAACCACTTTACACAACTAAACTACTTTTACATGTAGAATATTGATAGATGGGCTTGCCGGGGATGCAGCACAACACCATTTGCCATTACCAAGGAGGTATTTTTGTTTGAAACTAGTGTGTTTCCCGTGCGATGTACGGAGGAGCTCATATTGATGAAATTTCAACGGAAATATATTCCAATAGAGTCATTCCAACGAAAATTCGAACAGATATTTTAATACTATTATTTTTGTTGGAATTTTTCAATAGATTCCAACGGAAATTCCAACAAAATATTCCATTGGAATGAGATTTCCTTAGGAATTTCCGTTGGATTACGATTCCAACGGTGGATTTTTCAACGGGGCTGGAAATAAAAATTATAACGAATATTCCTACGGTAATAAGCCGTTAGAAATATAACTATTGAAATAATCAAATTTCATCTAAAATTTCAATGAAAAACACATTCCGTTGGAATCATCAAATTCCATCTAAAATTCCAATGAAAAACACATTCCATTGGAATATATTACCATAGGATTTTCTGTTGAAATATAACAATTTTTTAATAGTGAGCAACACGTTGTTGGGTTTGTAAAGGAGAGATTGAATATGATAAACTGGTTATCATTCAATTCAGCGAGTTAAGATCAGTTGAAGTGGGTTATTTTGAATAAAATAGAATTGAAATTAAATAATATTTAAAAGGCCTAATTGCCGGTAAAATCATGACCTTACAACATTTTGCCGTCTTAACCAAACTTTTGAAATTTAGCAAACATAACATAACTTTGTCTGTTTTTGGCAATTCGAATCACCGGGACGAATTTCGGGCTTTGTACATCACCAATAAAAAAAAATTATGCAACACTAGGGTTTGAACTTTGTACTTCAAACTTGTATTATGGCATAGTAACCACCACAACAATCCAAGTTGTATGCTATTAAAACGCTTAATATATATAGATAATACGTATGAGCAAATCAAATTAAATTTAAAAGTTAATATAAATTTTAATTTATATTAATAAGATGTAAACTTATAATAATTAAAATATAAAAATAAATTATATAATATTGATTAAAAATAATATAATATTAGATAATAAAGTATAGAAAATTTAACCGGAAAAAATATATAAACCAATTAAAATAAAAAATTAAAACAAATAGAAATCTTAAATGAATATAATAAAATAAAAAAATATTATTTGAGTTTATTATAATTTATAATTTATAAAATTATTATATTAAAAATAATATAAATAATTTATTAAATTACTATATTCAAATAATATTTTTTATTTAATTATATTTACTAATTTATTTAAAAATAATTTAAATAATTTTTTAACTTATTATATTAAAAAATGAATATAATAAATAATGAAATATTATTTGAATATAATAATTTATTTAATAATTATATAAAAATTTATATAAATAATTTATTAAATTACTATATTCATTTTTTAATTAATTAGATTTAATAATTTATTAAAAAATAATTTAAATAATTTATTAACTTATTATATTAAAAATGAATATAATCAAATAACGAAATATTATTTGAATATAATAATTCATTTAATAATTATATAAAAAATAATATAAATTATTTATTAAATTACTATATTTAAATATTTTAATAATTATGAAATATTTTAATTTATTTTAATAAATATGGAATATGTAAATTTAATTTAATTTAAATTTACTCTAATATAAAATAACTTATCTTATTAATAATTTACATTATATTTTAAATTTGATTTGATGTATTCATAGAGTGCCTATATATATTAAATGCTATTAAATTTAACAAATAATTTGGGTTGGTCTAGTGGTTCCAATGTTATCATACAACCTTGAGGTTCTAGGTTCGAACCCCAACATCGCTTAAATTTTTATCGCCACTGCAGACAAAGCCCGGTGATTTGAATTGCCAAAAATATACAAGGTTATGTTATGTTTGCAAAATTGCAAAAGTTTGGTTAAAACGGCAAAATGTTGTAAGGTCATGATTTTACCGATAATTTGGCTTTTTTAAAATGTAATGATTAAAGTTTATATGATGTAAAAGTAAGAAAAAAATTATAAGAAGTACTAGGTAGTCAAAGTTATGTGAGTTGATAAATAGTAAATTAAATATAATATGATGTGTTAGAATGATTGAGTAGAATTATTTAAAATATTTAGAAAAAAATAGGAAAAGTGTTTTGAGTTGGATTTTGAAATAGATGATTAGATATGATCATATGACTCAACCGATTATAACCGGTTGAGTTTGAATCATAATTCATATTCAATCACGTCCTAAACGTCCAAGGTTCAAATAAGGGCAGTCGAGGTCTAATGTCCAGAGAAATGGATGCAACGTAACTATAGGAAACTGATTAAATGACGAGCGTGATTTTTCTGCAATTTAGACTACATAATTAAGAGGCTCCACCGCCATTTCTGACAACATGAAGGGGTGGTTTTTTGCTATAAAGTGGTTGTCTTAATTTGTGCAATCTCTATATTTATTAACTCACTCAGTCTGGTAATATTTATTTTTATTAACTCTACTCAAAATTGTGCGATAACTTAAGATATCTATCCTTGAAAACAATCTCGAAGTTATGTTTTGCAGGCGTTTGCACACTAAACTCTGCTCTGAGGTCAACGGAGTCGCATAAATCGTAATATGACCAACGTGATTTATATATCTTTTTTTTGGTAGCCAGCCACGGTATCCGGAGCTATGCTCTGACTAATTCGTTGGTCGACTCGGATCGCACACCTGACAGTGGTGGTGAGTCTCCCAACAAAGATTTTCTGCATCAGAACATAATTTAGAAATAAAAAATTATTAAAAAAAAAAGTTACTCGATCGTATTAGCAGTAGTCAAACAACATGCAATTAAGTAATATCACGCCTAGCTATACATATGCCTACACAACTCAACTCTATATAATTAATTACTACCCACCGTTTGATCATTCATACATCCCATTCCCATCACCATCACTTAACTATGGCATCCCTCGTCTTTAATCCCGCCGTTCACGTGGCAATATCAATAATCCTCCTCATGTCCCCGGCCACAAACTCATTCTCCCGGCCCCTATCGGCCTCCGAGGCAAAGTCGATGAGCCCAGGCTCCGGCATGGGCTTGGGCTGTCCCCAGGCCACAAACCTCCATTTCTACTTCCACGACATAGTCAGCGGGCCCAACCCGACGGCCGTGCGCATCGCGGCCCCAAGAGCCAACTACTCCATGTTCTTCGGCACACTTGTGATGATCGACGACCCGTTGACCTACGGGCCGGACATGAGCTCCGGCATCATGGGCCGGGCCCAAGGGATGTACGGGTCGGCGGATTTAGAGGTTGCGGGCCTCGTGATGGTTCTCAACTTTGTGTTCACCGACGGGGATTACAAGGGGAGCACGTTAAGCTTGCTGGGTCGCAATGCCGTTATGGACAAGGTGAGGGAGATGCCCATTCTCGGGGGAACAGGAAAGTTCCGGTTCGCGACAGGGTACGCACGAGCTAGAACATATCACTGGGATTTCACCACGGGAGATGCCGTTGTTGAGTACCACGTCACCGTTTTCCATTACGGGCAAGCCTAGCTAGGCTAGGCTAGATACAATTAATGTGTATTAATATGTGGTTTCACTTGATCAAAATTGTTACTTAATTTGGTGTTACAACCTTTGTGTGTGTGTGTGTGTGTGTGTGTGTGTGTTTTTTTTTTTTTTTTTTTTTTTTTTTTTTTTTTTTTTTTTTTTT